TCTGTCAGGGTCTGCAGGGAGGGGCAGGGGATGGACCCGGCTCTGCTCGAGCCTGCCCAGCAGTGGGTGCCCAGCCCAGAAACCGATGCCCAGGAAGTTCCACCTGGACATGAGGAAGAACTTCCCTGTGCAGTGACCGAGCCCTGAAGAGAGACCAGAGAGGGTGTGGAGTCTCCTCACTGGAGATATTCCAGACCCCCCTGGACACAGTCCTGTGCTGTGTGCTCTGGGATGGCCCTGCTGGGCAGGGAGGTGGGACCAGGTGAGCCCCTGTGTTCCCTTCCCGGATCCATCTGGGATCTGGGAGGGGCGGAAGGGCCCGGCCCTGCCCCGCCGCCCCCCCGGGCCGCTCCTGCGGCGGAAAAACGGCTTTTTAACGGCAAAAGCGGCGCCGCTGCTGCGCCGGCGTCGGCAGTGCCATAAAACACACCCGCGGATCCAAAGAGCAGCTGCTCACGTTTATGTTGCTCGTCTTCACAGAATCCCAAAATGGTTTGGGTTGGGTGGGACATTAAAGCTCATCTCGTTCCACCCCCCTGCCATGGGCAGGGACACCTTTCACTGTTCCAGGTTGCTCCAAGCCCTGTCCTGCCTGGCCTTGGACACTTCCAGGGTGGTTAATCTCCACTATTAAGGACTTTACTGCAAATTTGAACTCTTTCCTGTGTGGCTTTTAACAAAGGAGGAAGACTTTTCAACTCTACTTCAAAGCAGTTTTTGAAGAGTAATGTAATTTTTCTCAATTTGGAGACGTAAATTGATTTTTTTGGGGATATAATTTGTTACTTTGGCTCTCTGTAGGGCAGTCTGAGCTCACCTTCACATTTGGCATATTTTCACTTATTTAAAACCAAAATAAAAGTAACACACGTCCTCAGTGCTGTAAACTGAGCTGGGAAACAAGATCTGCAGCAGACTTGGATCTTTAAATCTGCTCTAATTTAATTCCATAATTCATTAATTTTTACCCAGAAAGGGGGTGTAGCCAAGGGCAGAGCAGATGCTGAGAAGTTCCCAAGAGCATTTGGAGACAAATGTGATAAGGCAGAAAAGAGAAGTTGTTGCTGCCAGTCAGGCTGATGTTCCTCCTCTCCTGCTACAAGACCAAATGCTTCAGAGAAAAGTGAAAAGGATAATTAGGGATCAACTTCATAACCTCCTCTGTGTAGTAGCTGACTGAGGCACTGGTACCTGAGAGTTCAGCAGTCCTTACTTTAAAATGAGACATCTCCACTCTTTAAAAATTAATTCATATTTTCGTTGTTAACTAATAAGGAGTTTTGTTATTTTTGGTTTTCGTTTCTGACTGTTCTCTCTCCTTGTCCTGTCTGTCACAGGCAGCAAGATCACTCTGAAGCTTCAGAAAGCAAACACTGACTGGATGCCCCTGCTCTTAAAATCTTAAAAAAGGGGCAGCCACAGCATTAGATACATCAACACTGTGGATGCAAGGCTGTCACTCACCATATGAAATCAGGAGTGTGATATGCCCAGGCTTGTGACAAACAGAGACAAATAAGGGAATTCCTCCCTGTGAGGGTGGGGAGGCCCTGGCACAGGTTGCCCAGAGAAGCTGTGGCTGCCCCATCCCTGGAAGTGTCCAAGGCCAGGTTGGACGTGGCTTGGAGCAACCTGGGGTAGTGGAAGGTGTCCCTGCCCATGGTAGGGGGTGGAACTGGATGAGCTTTAAGGTCCCTTCCAACCCAAACCATCCTGGGAATCTGGGATTTTGCTGAACATGTCACTCTACTCCTGACAAAAAGACCAGCGCTGAGGGACACTCACTTTGTTCCCTTTTCCCTGTTTCCCAGTGAGGTTCACCATTGCTGAGGATTCTGATGAGGCCACTCCCAGCACCAGGACCAGGATGACTTTCACTGCACAGAAGTGTGGGGTCTGCTTCCAGCCCCCCTCCATCGTCCTCATCTACAGAGACCACAGCCAGGATAAGACTCGCCGACGCATCATGCCCGTCAGGAATTTCTCCAGGTTCTCAGGTGAGGTGCATTCGTTCACTTGTAGCATTCCCTAGGTCCCCTCCAGACACAGAGAGAGGAACTCACTGTAACAGCATTGTTAGTAACCCCTGAGTAGCCTCTTACCAGCAATGCAGGGCGTGCAGACAGGGGTGTTTTGGGGTGACACTGCCTGCCCGAGGAGCCCAAGGCTCCATCTCAACCTGAGCAGTGCCTCTCTAAGTCTGGAGGGTTTGGAGAGACACCCTTGGGAGGGACTGGGAGAAGATCTGTCTCTGGGAAGAGCTTTGCTTGCAGCTCTAAGTCCTCGTGGTGGTTTTTGTCTCCAGACTGCAGCATGGCTGCCGAGCAGCTGAAGAACAACCCTCGGCACAAGCCCTACCTGGAAGGGGTCTCGCTGCGGCAGCTCCAGAAGCTCTACAGTTTGCTGAGAGGTCATCTGGGAGGAGAGAGCCTGGCTGAGAGCTTGGAAAAGTTTCGGCAGGAAGAGACCATTGACCCGGAGGAGGATATGAACAAACTAGATGACAAGGAACTAGCCAAGAGGAAGAGCATCATGGACGAGCTCTTTGAAAAGAACAGAAAGAAGAAGGATGACCCCGATTTCATCTATGACGTTGAGGTGGAGTTCCCACAGGATGAGCAGCTGGAGTCCTGTGGCTGGGACCTGGAGTCAGATGAAGAAATCTGATTCCAGATTTCTATCCCAGCAGAGAGGATGATGTCGGTGCCACACAGAACTGATGCACATTGGCTACAGAGAATCCGAGGGACCACAGCAGTCCCAGGGTTAAGGGAGCTTTGTTTAAGAAGCCAGACTTGATGAAATGGAAACCGGGCAGCTGAAATTGTTGGGTGGTTTTAGTCTTTTCCTACATAAAAGAATTTATTTAATCTTTCGATTTTTTTTTTTACATTTCAGTCAGCTTTGGCTGAAAATGAAGTGTTAAATATTCATGTCCTGAAAGCACTGTTAAAGCTGCATTGCACAAGTAGAGTGTTTCTTATTGCCTGCTGGGAAGTTAAATATATATCATTCTTTCTATATAAATCAACAGTGCACTGAGGATATTACTCTCACATTTCCTGAAAAATGCTTAAATCTCCAGTTTTAGCTTACACAAATATAAATCCTTATATTTAAGAAAAGGAATATCTAGAAAATGAATTAGTCTTGAAAGCACTTTTGAAAACACAGTGATTTCAAATTGCTGCAATGGGGTGGTTGGTTCCTTACACTGCTTGATGATGCTTTCTTATAAGTGCTCAATTCTGGGAGAATGTGCTTAAAGTATCCGAAAAAAATAGAGTGGTAGAAAGTCAAAGGCCAGGGTTTAGAGTAAAACAAAACCTTTACTCATCCCACTGAAGCTTTTATTCCCACTGTCTACCTCAGCTGGTCTGTACCAGCCAAATCCTTCTCTCCTGCAACAACTGGAGGACTAAGTTTAGGATTTTTTAGGAAATTGCACAACTCCAAAAACTTCCCGAGTTTCAGCTTTCCAAACCCAGGCAGCTGTGAGGGCTGTGGGTGGGATGGGCCTTCATCCTGAGCTGTTGCCTGAGGTAACTCAGAGGAGTTGTAAATGGCCTCCCAGACTAGTTCCTGCCTTCCTTCTTGCAACCACAAACTAAATAAAACATGTTAAATTTATCAGCAAGATGTCTTGTGGCAGCCCAGGCGCTGGGGCTGGAGGAGCTCTCCTCCCACACACCGAAACGATGGAGTCACTGCTGGGAAAATCTGGAACGGGTCTCCGTGAAACCACAGTGCTGTGCCACCACTGCAGAGCAGGAGGGAGCTCACACCTGGCCACGGGGGTCTTCAGTTAGGAACGGAAGCTGGTGCCTCACTTGCCACAATTAAAGAAATCTAAAGCCTGACTCAGCAATCCCAGGACCGGAAGGGGCATGTGGGGCTCTGGCACAGGCCTTGCCTCAAGGACTGCAACAGAACAGCAGAAAAAGATCTCCCACTTGGGCGGGAGGGGGCCATGGGGACTCCTCCTGCACACCCATCCTGCACCCAGCGTTGTCCTGGCTGGGCTGGGAGGATGTGGCTGCACCCCCTCCCTGGGCATGGCCCTTCTCACAGTGGGGGCTCAATGAGGCCTAACCAGTGCCCACTTGAGGGGGTAATCACCTCCCTGGACCGTGAGGTTCCTGCTGGCCTGTCCCTCTAGCCCACACCAGTCCTTCAGGATGAAGCCCTGCTGGTCCTCCCAGTTTGGGCTCATCTGTGAACTTGGCACAAAGCTGCTCCACAGCCTTCTTTAGGTCATGGACAGAGATGAAATGGGGCAGATCCCAAACCAGACCCTGGTGTTTTCTCACCAGCCTCCTACTAACCACTACCTTGCGTGCTTCATCTTCCAGCTGATCCTTACCTGCCTGGCTGCCCATCCATCCAGACCATGACATCCACACTTGGATGAAGAATGTTGTGGGACAGTGTCCAAAGCCTTGCTGAAGCTGAGGGAAATGGCACCCACCACTTTCCCCTTGCCTACAGACCACCAATTTCATCCTGAGAGGAAAGCAGGTCAGGTAGGCACAAGTTACCCTCATCAATCCACGCTCACTGCTCCCAGCCACCCTCTTCTAGAGGTGTGTTCCAAATAAAGGATACTCCGTGGTTTTCCCAACATGAAGGTGACTGCCCAGTTGCTCCCTGGGATGTCCTTTTGGCCATTACTGAAGTTGGGTGGGACACTTGGGTTCTCCAGTCATGGAAGGGCCTTCCCTATCGCCATGACCTTGCAGAGATGGTGAGAGCAGCTTTGTAAAGACATCCACCACTCTGAAAGTGGAATCTCCTCCTGTTGCCCTGACATCCCATGCACATCCCAGCTCCAGGTGAGCCTCAGCTTTCCAGGCACGTGATGGGGGAGTGTGGATTATCCTGCCCATCAGCTCAACAGAACCAAGAACTCCCACTCTTTATTCGTGCCCTGGGCAGTGCCAGGTGCCCGGGTTCCTCCCTGCATGTGTTCCCACAGCTGCACCCCACATCCCCCTTCCAAAAGGAGGTGCAGCGTTGGCTGGGGTGGGGGGGAAGCGAGCCCATCCACAATCCAAGGATGGCCCTGGCACCCACAGCAGGGGAAAACACCCCCAGGGACTGGGGCACCTGCTCACCCTGCCAGCAGGGAGACACTGGAATGCTGCCAGGAGACAGCACAGGGATGTATTTTTAGGTCATTGCTGTCCCCCAGGGGTGCAGCTTACTGGCAAAAGAAGGGCTGAAAGAGGCTGAGGGATTCCCCAGCTGGGGCCTGGTTTGGTTTTGGCTAGTTCAGTCTAAAATAGGGCCAGAAAGCAGCCATTTCTGAGCTGGGTCTGACAGTGGGGTTCCAGAGCCTTGGCTGCACTCGGTCCCATTGGAGCTGCCAGCATGTCCAGCGGGGTCCGACCTGCGCCACTTCCCAGCCCGGCACGGCCATCGGCCACACCAGGCTCACCCAATGCCTGTCCCACACCTCTGCCGGGGAGGGGGCTGCCCTGCTCCTGCTGCCTGCACCACCCCTGGCATCTTCCCGGCCCCACGCCAGCCTGGGCATCTCCCTCCACCACCTCCCAGGACAACTCCAGTGGGCTTGAGCCCCCAGCACACCCCACATCGCCCTGCGGAGCCCACCCACATAAGGACATATCCCCGGCATGCCCACAGCGGCACTGCGGCTCTCCCACTCCCCCTGTTCCCAATTAAACACGTTTCACTGGAAAATCCCAGCAGTGCCAGGGAATAAAGCCACTCCAGTTCTCAGAAGGGTTTTTGAGTTAGCACAAACCACCATCACTTCTCCTTCCCCCCCAGAGACTCTCCGAGGAACAGAGCAGCACTTCCCCAGGTAGCGCTGCCCCTCCAGAGGGACGATGTGAGCTGAAACCGGAGCTGGGTGGAGGAAACCCCCCACACCCACCGGAGCAGGGCTTCCACAATGAAGGGAAGGGCTTTCTCTTACTTCCTTTGCACGTTTAATCCAGCACTGCTGGCAGAAAATAAGTCCATGATAAAATATAAGCAGGATATAATTTACTCTCCTGCCTTTCAATCAATATTTCACATCGTTTCACTTGGGCTGTTTTTAATGGACTTTCTAACCGGGACTGTGGCTTACCAAAGAAACAAACCCCCAAAATGTGTCAGTCCTGCCGACAACGCCCATCTTATCAGCGCACGCACAGGGTGCATGCCCCGGGCTGCCTGCGGGTTTGCAGTGCCCGCAAGAGCACTGTGGGAGGCTGAGGGTAGGGAGAGCCTCCTCTGCAGCGCCCGGGTGATGTCTGCTCCAGCCCGGGGCACCTCGTGGAGGCCGTTTGCAGATCTGGAGGATGTTTTGAGGTGGGAATAAATAAAAGGAACTGCCTGAAGGGGGTGGGGAGGGGGGAAACAGCACTGGGGAAAACAGTCACAGAATCACAGGATGGTTTGGGTTGGAAGGGACCTTAAAAAATCATCTGGTTCCACCTCCCTGCCATGGGCAGGGACACCTTCCACTAGCCCAGGTTGGTCCAAGCCCCATCCAACCTGGCCTTGGACACTTCCAGGGATGGGGCAGCCACAGCTTCTCTGGGCAACCTGTCCCTTCAGCCAAGAGGTGTTTGATGTCGTGTCTGCTCAGCTCTTGTCCACACCAGCCGAAGATTTCTGCTGAAGATGTGTCCCTTGAGGATTCCCAGGCTCCATCACTGGACACAGCCCTGAACCCTTTGGGTACCGTTAGGGCTCACCCAGCACCCCGTGTCCTAAAATCCATCAAGTCTCCATCTCACCCACCTCGGAGAGGTTATCAGCTGTAATCCTGTAAGCAGCCAACCTCCCACTCGCATTCTCTGTCCTGAGCCCTTCCTCCTCCTCCTCCTTCTCCTCTTCTTCTTCCTCCTCCTCAGCCATCAGTAAGGGCTGGAAACCCCACACCGGTTTTTCAGCAGCTTCAGCAGCTTCTCCTTGAGCATGAGGAAGACGACAGCGAAGGCCACCAGGAGCGTCAGGCAGGTGGGCAGAGCCAGCACGAGGTAGAGCAGCGCCAGGTCGGCCGTCTGCCAGCGGCAGCTCCGCAGGACGGGCTCGGGCAGCGCGCCGGGGCTCAGGGCGTGGGAGCCGTGGCTGCAGGTCACCTCCCGCCCGTCGGGGACGCGCAGCCCCTCCACCCGCTGCAGGGCGTCCCACCAGCCCAGCGTGCAGCAGTTGTAGGGGTTCCGGCTGAGGTAGAGCTCCCGCAGGCTCCTCCCCAGCGGCGTCCGCGCTGTGTCCGGCGGCAGCGCCGGGAGGCAGTTGTCCCGCAGGTCCAGGCTGTGCAGCTCCAGGGCGCCCAGCGAGGCGGGGAAGGCGGTCAAGGAATTCCCCGAAAGGTCCAAGCGTACGAGGCTGTTCAGGGTGGAGAAGTCCACGCCGGTCGAGGAGAGGCTGGTGTTCCTCAGAGACAGCACCTGCAGCGTCAGGGCAAGGTCCTGCAGCCACCCCAGGCCCCCAGACAGTGCCTGGCAGTTGTCAGAGAGGTCCAGGTGGATCAGCGACGTTCCCTGGAAGGGGCGGCCGCCCAGCCCCCGCAGACCACAGCCGGCCAAGGAGAGATGGGTCAGGGTCTCCACGCCCCTGATGTCTACGCAGGGGGGACTCTCCGCCTCACCTACAACGTCTGGCTGGGGACAGAGGTCAACCTGGTTGTGGCTGAGGTCCACAGTAGTGATCTTCCTGGTGTGGGTGAAAACGCCGGGAGGAAGCGCCCGCAGCCTGTTGGCACTGACGTTGAAGAGCTGCAGGTTGGGCAGGACATCCCCGACACCCACCTCTGTCCCCAGCTCCACCAGCCGGTTCTGGCTGAGGTCCAGCTCAGTCAGCATGGCTAAGGGGCCCTCCTCCAACAGGTGAAACGCCTCCAGGCAGTTCTGGTTGAGCTTCAGGTGGGTCAGTGAGGGCATCTGGGCCAGGAAGCCCTCCGGCAGGCCCCAGACCTGGTTCTGGCTCATGTCCAGCAGACGCAGGGAGGAGAGGTTGCTGTAGCAGAGCTCGTCCCAGAGCCTGACCGTCGTGATGTTGGTGGAGTTGCCATCGATGATCAGGAACTGCACGGTGACGTTGGCCAGGGACGTGCCGTTGGGGAGGCGCTGGTAGAAGCTCATCCTGTTGTCCTGCAGCAGCAGGGAGTGGAGCTTGTTCTGCCGGGGCAGCACGGGGAAGAACAGCAGGCGGTTGTGGGACAGGTCCAGCACCTCCAGCTCAAAGAGGTCATCGCTTTCCAGAGCCAGAAACCACTCGATGATGTTGTTGCTGACGTTGAGCACCCTGAGCTGGGTGAGGCCGAACCCCACCAGACACGGGAGGTAGTTGTAAGCTATGTTGAGCCTCTGCAGACTCTGCAGCCCTTCAAAAGCTTCATCAATCTCAAAGATGTAGTTCTTCTCCAGGTTCAGCTCCAGCAGCTGTGTCATGTTTGTAAAGATGGACGAGTCCAGTCTCATGATGACATTCCTGGCCACAGACAGGGACTCCAGGGAAGATAGGTTCCAAACTAGAACTGACACCATGTCCTCAGTGAGGCGGTTTCCAGCCAGATCCAGTGTCCTCAAGGCTTGCAGAGCAGAAAGAGCAGCTGCTGTCAGCGAGTAGTTGGTGAAGAGGAGGTTGTCTGACAAGGAGAGCTCCTGGAGGCCTTGACTGCTGTGGAAGGTGCCGGGCTCGATGAGCTCCAGCCGGTTCCTGGTCAAACTGAGATGGCAGAGCTGGGTATATGGAAGCAGAGAAGCATTTCCCAGGACCTGGATAGTGTTGTCATCGAGCAACAGCTCCTCGGTATCACCTCGAAGGTTTCCTGGGATGGAACTCAGCCATCTCCCAGTGCAGTCCATGGTGCTCTGCACCTAAAGCAAGAGGAGGATCTGTAACACCACTCTGAGAGGCAGGAGATGAGGAGGGAGAAGTCTGGGGAGCAGAATGAGTATGGAGGAGGTGGCTCTGTGTTTAGAACCTTGGCACCCCAGTCCCCTCCAAGCCAGTAGCTGGGATAGGGAAGGTCTGGAGACGCTGAGGCGCCCGGGCTTTGCCAGGCAGGACCAAGCATTCAGAGGGGTGAGGGTTCACAGGAGAGGACTTACGAGCTCACAGCGACCCGGAGATGGTGCCCAGGCTGCAACTGCCCCGCTTCCCCTTCCCACTGCTAGGAGGACCAGAAGCAGGGAGAGACCAGGGAGCGGGGCCTCCATCTCAGCGGCGGCACTCCTGCGGAGATGGAAACAGAGCGAGGAGGTCAGAAGCTGCAGGCTGCTCACCCCAAAAGGTGCAGGTGACCTGGGCCACCACGAGCTGCCTGTGGAGAAGGGACAGAGGGCCTCGGCACCAAGCCCACCCTCCCCAGCAGGAGCCCTCGTGGGGCTCCCCCAGTTTGAGCCTGGAGGGCAGGAGAAGAGCAGGGACAGGGAGGTGGCAGCTCGGTCCCCGCATGGGGCAGCACACGTGGGAAAGGCACCGTCAGAGCTGCACAGCTGCTCGTGAATGCCACTGAACTGCATCCCTCAAGCAGAGGAGTCCCCCTGGCAGGGCTTGTGTCCCCTCTCTTGGCACCAAATGCTCCCCCAGGGGACACTGACCCAGTCCCCCCTGAGCCCGCCCAGCGCCCGTCCCCTCCCGGGGAATTGGAAGCTCTCCAGCACAACCTGCCCTGTTACTGACCTGGTGGGACTGGAGCCGATGACATTTGCATCTGGGGAAAAGCTGAAACTCAGGCAAATGAGCAGCGAGGGCTCAGCAAGGCCTCGGCACACAGCACTTTCAGAACTGCCACTGCTTGAAGGAGAAACGGGGGGTTATCTTGGGCAGCCCTGCAGCTGGAGCCTCACAGCACAGAGGGAGCAGGGGCATGTCCTGGGCTGTCTTCTTCCTTGGGACAGCCAAAAGTACAGAGCTGGTGCCTTATCAAAGCAGCATTTATTAATCAGGGGGATGCAGAGGAAGCCCCCCTTCCCCGAGCTGCAGCTCACACACAGCACCTTTTGCCCTCCCAAGCCCTTGGTCTCCAGCAGCACCTCATACCCAGCAGGGAGCAGGAAAGGGACCTTGCTGAGTCTCAAAAACTTTGACTGCTCCCAAAAACCAGCAGCTTTGGCTCTGGCTCCTGAACTCCTCTGGAGAAACTCCCACTTGCCTTCAGCCAGCCCAGCCTTTCTTGGCCTCTCTGAACACCAGGAGCACCTCCATGCTCCCGCTCCTCCCTGGAGCTGCAGGGATGGCACCTGCCCAGCCAGGAGAGCAGGCGGCAGCCCTGGCAGGAAACCCCTGCCCGCAGCCCCACACCAGAGCCCACATCCAAGAGCTCTGGGAGCACCCAGGGTGCTCCCCACAGCTCACACCAGCCCAGCCCCGGCCCACGCAGCCACAGCTCTTCGAGCGTGGGCACCAGTGACACGCGGCCACCACACACCCGCAGACTGGCACCGAGGGCTCCCCAAAATCCCCCGTCGGGGCTTTCCCCCAGCACAGGTACGGGGGGCAGGTACTCACCGGGTGGGGCGGCGCGCAGGGTTTGGCACAGCCCATCCTGAGGCCAGCGGCCCCCGGGCCGCGCTCGGGGGGCTCTCGGGGCCGGGGGCAGGGGTGACCCGCTGGGTGTGTGACCCACCCGCCCTCCTGCCGAGCACCGATATAGCCTTTGCGGAAGGAGCGACGGAAACTGCAGTCACATGGAGGCAGAGAGCGCGGCCGAGCTCCTCGCTTACTGATCTCAGCACTCACAGCCGGGGTCACGCACTCACACACAGCTCCCTGGCAAGGAGGAACCTCGGCGGCCGGGCAGGGAACCAGGGGGTGCCAGGGGGAACCAGCTCCTGCCTGTCCTCCTGCTCCCAGGGACAAGCCTTGCACTGGGACTCCTCTGCCCAGCTCCGGCGGCAGAACCCCTGCTCGGGTTTTGGGCCGCAGAGATCTTGACTGAAGGGAGGTCCGTGGAGAAATGCCACCTCCCTGCATGGCACCTATTCCCATTGTGTCCCTCCAGCTCCTGCTTGCCTCCAGTGCCCAGCACAGGGACTTTGACAGGAGCCCAGGGATGTGCATCCCATGGGGGAAGAAGGGGCTGTTATTGCCTGTTGCATCCCAAGCCAAGGTTGGACATGTCCCAGATGTTGAGTCCCCACTTTGGGACACCCGTGCCCAGCCCCTCACATTGTGTAGGTGAGACTTGGGATGCTCAGATTCTCCACCCCCAATCCTTTGGGTCTCCTGGGGCTGCTCAGGATTTCTGCAAACCCAGCACCCAGGGCACAGGTCAGACCCATCTGGATACAGGGACTCCTGAGTGCTGATCCCTGTGGGAAACTCAGCAGAACTGGCTTTTCCCACAGCTGCCAAGAAACAACGATCCATATTTCCAAGGCAATATGAGCAAGGACGTCCCCTTACTCCTCATCCCCATCTACTCCTACTCTCTATCTCCCCATCCCATGACTCCCTCCTCCCAAGGTCTCCACGCATCCCCAAGGCCCCAAATCCAGCCACTGAGGAGGAAAACAGTTTGCATTGATCTACCTAGCTGGGGAAGGGTTCAGAACTATGGAGAAGGGATCCAGCCCTGCAGCAGGACCCTGTGTAGTGGGATCAGCAGGTTCTGCTCTGCAGTGTCCATGCTCCACATGCCATGTGCTCCATGGCACCAGTGGGATACTCTGCAGAGCTGAGAGATGAACTGTGGCACACTAAGACCTTCCCAAGGGACATCTCAGCTGGGATCCCCCCTACCTGCCAGACCACGTGGCCCCCAAACTCCTGCAGTCAACACAAATGACCAGGGAGATAATTTTTTTTTGCCCTCCTCCTAAATTTAATTTCTTCTCTGGGAGAAGGCTGAGCTGTCCCATGCCACTCGTGAAAAAGCCCTGTGGTTTCATTTCCTCCATTTTCAAGGAAGTTTGACATACAAAAATCAAGAAGGAGAAGAGAGAAGTGAACAGGAGTGGCAGAAACTGCAGCAGGGCACAATTCCCATGGCGTTGCTCAAGGGCACACGAAGGGCTGAGACTGGCCAATGGTTATAAACTGCTGATCCCAAACCGTGCCACAGGCCCAGCCCTCACCCAAACCCCTCACCTGCTGCTTGGAGGTGCAGGAGCTGGCAGAGAGTCACCTGGAGCTGTAAAACTTGAGCATCCTCAGCCCTGACCATACTCCACTCACTGGATCTGGAGGCTCCTGGGAGACCTTCTGGTGAGATTCCTCCTTGTAGTGCCACCAAACACGGTGATGCCTCGAGGGTCAAACCAGCTTCCTCCTGCAGCCCAGCAGGAACTGGGAGAGAAAACAACTTGTTTCATGCCCTGCTCCACCCCCAGCCCGTCCCCAGAGCCAGGGCAGTGTAACCCCCTCTCCCCGGCAGCGAGGGCACCGTGGGGTGGCAGAGTCCCTGCAGCACCCACCCAGGTTTCACCCACCCCACTGTTCCCAAAAGCAGCCCCAGGCCAGGGCTCTGTGCTGGGGCAGTTTGGCAGCAGGGCTGCACTTCACACTTTCCCCACATCCTGCAGCTGGTGGTTCTGAAAACGTCCCAGAGCTGCTGCTTGGTCCCCTCCTTTTCCTCCCCAGCAGCATCACACCCCTCACCCCCACCCCCCAGCCCTCACACTGGATTTGTGGTTTATGGGGGTTTCATTTATTTTTTAATATCAGCACAGTAAAGGAACAGGGACTGAGCTGCCAGGACCTGCTGCTCCATCCAGCTCTTCAGGAAGCTCCAATCCAGCCCAATGGCACAGGTGGATTAAATTGAAGGAAATTCAGCTGCTTGGAGCTGTGTCTACAAGAGCAGCTGCAATTCCTGCAGCTGTAGGGGAGGACTGGGAATCCCCACATGGTTTTACACTCAGTGAACTTCCTCCGTTCCTCCCACGTCCTCTTCCTCCAAACCATCTTTTCCCCTTAACAACCCTCAAATTGTCAAGCACAAACCAAGAGAAAAGTTGTGACAAGAGGGCAGGTTCCCAGTTACTGCTGGAATGCTGCACCCAGTACAGGATGCTTGGGAAAGGAGAAACTGCAACAGGAAACAGCAGCCCCATTGCTGCACCTGTGTTTTCCTGCAGGAAATGTGATTTATTCCAGAGTGGAAGCACCAGGAGAAGGGTCACTTGGTAGCAGGACCACAGCCTTGGTGAGTGGGAGAAAAGTGAAACAGAAATGGGCTTCTCCATGGGCTTCCCTGATTCCCACTGGAATGGAGAAGTGGAGAGAATTAAACAAGTAGCTCTGCAAGGGAGAATGGTGCAAAGCATCATTAATTTAATTAACTTCATTTAATCACCTGCTCTGGAGAAAACAAGGGAAGCTCCAGGTTTGCTGTATCCCAGGAGCTGCCAGTAGCAGTAGTTGCCTCTAATTTAAGATGAACTGTGAACATAAAAAAGAAAACAGATCATTTGTTGCATGGGCAAAAGGGAAAAGCTAAAATGTCCAGCTCGATGGCTGAACACTTTAAACTACAGCTCTGGAATTTCATCTGGCTGAATTTCTCCACAGGAATCCGCCCAGTTTATCCCCAGGGAATAGCTCAGGATGTGTCCCATCCCAGGATGGCACAGACACGTTGATGTACAGGAGCAGGGGCTCCCCCAGCCCAGCGCCGCAGTGGGACGGGAGCTCTGCAGGAAGCACAGCTCCCCTGGGTGTAGTTCCTGCAAGGGGAAGCCAAGGGCCAAAACTCAGCAATTTATAATCAGCTGCAAAATCTTCTTCCCCCCTCAGCTGTAGCCAAACCACCTCCCTGCTGCTTTACCTGGCCACGCTTGGGTGTCCAAGGAGAGGCGTGTGCCGGCACTGACATCAGCCACTAAAGCTCCAGGCTCTGGTTTTGCAGTGACTCCTGTGCCTGGGACCCCCCAGAGCCCCAGCACCTTCCTCTAGGCTGACTCTTCAAAGAAGACTTCTTTGAACCCAGAATTAGTTCTGGGTTGTTCTGAGCAGAGCACTGGGCTTGCTCACCCACCTTTGCAGCCACACGCTGGCTGCCGACATCTGAAGAACTGGGGCTGTGGGAGCTCAGGGAGGAGGGGGGAGGCAATAACCCCCCAGGACTGACAACGTCCAATGAGCCCACAGGTGAGTCCCAGCACAAACAATTGGGAAAATGAGGCCTTTGGGCTTGGATGACACTTGATCAGGACCTAAACACCACAGCAGGACTTTCATAGAGGCTCCCACCTTTGACCCTTCAGTCTCTATAAGGTTCCTCTATGGGACTCAGAAGAGAGGCAGGAACAGGCCTTAGCAGAAAGGAAACCCATGTTCCTGGGGGCACAGGGCCGTGTGGGAAGGGAAGAGGGGAACTGGTTGGCGGCTCAGCCACAGCCCTTTCCTGGATCCCCGTGCCGGGGTAAGGCTGCACCCTGGCTCCCTTCCCACAGGCAGGTCCAGCCCAGGCAGCTCCATCTCCGTGGTCACTGCTCTTCCTCCTCAGCCTGTAAATGAGGAGGAAGTGGGACAGGGAGGGCAGAGCCACAGCAGGATCTCGTTTCCCCCGCTCGCCTGCACGCGTGGCCATCACACCCCTGCCCTGCCATCACACCCCAGCCTGGGGGCTGCACAGGATCCTGCACCACCATGCCAAGGGAAACCTCCTCCTTGGAGAGCGGGACAGCAGCTGGATCACACAGAGCAGAGCATGCAGTGGGATGCATTGGATGCTGAAATAGTGCAACCTCATGTTTCTGCAGCAACTGGAAGCCAAGAGCATCCACTCCCTTGTGTTCCGAGACATTCCAGAGACACTCAGGAACTCACCTGCAGGAGAAGCAAGTGCCCAAAGCTGGACAAGGCCACTGACCTTGTGCCCAGAGAAGCTGTGGCTGCCCCATCCTTGGAAGTGTCCAAGGCCAGGTTGGACAGGCCTTGGAGCAACCTGGGATAGTGGAAGGTGTCCCTCCACGTTGCAGGGAGGTGGGACTGGATGGGCTTTAAGGTCCCTTCTAACCTAAACCTTTCTGTGATTTTTCTCCTACATGTCCTCAAGAGCTGCAAACAGCCCCACAACCAGGTTGCTTCCATCTAGTTTGGTCTTAGATTGCAGCTACGCCCAAAAGTGTTGCCCAAGTTTTTCCCAGAGGATTGCCAAAGGTGGATAAACTGACTTTATCTTTGCACTCTACAATAAAATAAACCATTGAAAGCAGTAAAACTCCTTGACCCATCTACTCCAG